ACTCAATCGGTAAAATTAAATAATTCGTTGCGAGTATCGTACGATACTTTGAAACACGGAAACCTACCTAAGCCACTTTCAATTTTCACTACAAATGTTGTTTTATGTAGCTCATTAGTGTTTTTCGCGCCAAAGTTTATAGAAATTTTGGACGTTATTCTGCTTGGATTTAAGTAGGTTTTAACTTGGAACGATTCTTGAGATTTGAAAGAGGTTTTTGTAGTTTCATTATGTTACGCAGTTTCATAAGTATACATAACATACTTGAACATTCCAAATTAAGTTGAATACGGAGTGATTAATTGAGTATAACGAGGATTTTTGTAATTACTAATAATGTAATAACTATGCCCTATTTTTAACACTTGTTATGTCGAGGTTGTGGTATAACGCAATAAATTAGATGGTAAAGTGGATAGAGAACAAAATACTGTATTAAATCATCATTACCCTATTGTCAAGTCATTTATACATAGGTACCTACTTCATGATTTCTTATGGAAATTTAAGCTCAAGACAAAGTATTTTATTTTTATTTTCTACTATATATACTCAAATAAATACTGATGTATTTATATAAGATTTAAAATTGCGGCTTTCCATTATTTATACACCTCCAAAACACTACTCTTCCTCCAGTAGTACTCCTCAGATTAATTTGAGCAAATTCACTCGTTTTTATTTGTTTCTTAGGTTTTGACGCACATCACTCATTAAATAAAACTAGTTTTTACGGGTTAATGCACGAAACTTTATTTATTTATTGACGTTTCGTAGCCTTTACTCGAGCTGAAGCTCGACAAATTAAATAAAAGTTTAATTCTGACGACGTAGCCTGTAAAGGCTAAATTAAGCCGTAAAAACTAGTTTTATTCACTCGTTTTGTTTTAAATATTGACGTATAAAATAAATAATTATTTTTATAAATACGTCAATTTTGTTGAAACATTTTTTTTACATAGTGTGATAAATGCGGACAATGGTTAATGCGAATAAAGCCGGTCCGAAACGTTGGGATAAGTTGCAAATAAATAAGCAATCACTTTTTTTACCGCCACTAAATTAGTAAGCACGTAAGTTGTAAGTAAAAAGCGGGTTATAATGACTGTGGCTGGGTAACTTAGTCATAAACAGGGGAAAAGTTTGGCAGCGCTATAGAAACCTGTTGTTTTATAATAAAATATGAATGATGAAGTTGATTAAAAGTTTATATTTCACATCCCGTTACAACCGCAAAGGGTGGATGTTGAGCTTTTTCCAGTTTGCGACAAAATTCCTCCCCGGGCCAAAATAACTCGCCACCATAGATGGTTTAACTTAAGATGGTTGCGATATCAGCGTATTTTATGAGCTACGCAAGGCTGACCCTGGCTTCATCATCCGCCAAGTGGAACCCTGGAAACTTATTCGACGACGGAAACACAACACTTTAAGTAAAAAGATGTCTTATCCATTTGCTATCAGCTGTTTTCGACTATTTTACATGAACAAAGAGAGACTCAACCTACTTTCGCATTTATAAAATTAATATGGATTTTCTACAGGTTTCTCAAGTGTCAACTGTCCACGCAGTGAAATGATGCTAGAGTTGTTTTGACGATTTGACGACAATTTATGATTAAGGCTAAGACCTCACGGAGCGGTTTTTACCCGCACCCGCCACGAGTGATCGCAGATTTACTTGTTTTATTTCAAAACTCATGAGACCGCAGTTTATAGTGGTTCCGCAGCCACCGTGGCTGCGAGATCGGGCGAAACCCGCCGCGTCTGCGGGTGATCGCGTCCCGCGCCCGCTCGCTGCAAGATCCCCAAAACAAACGAGCGCTCAGCGCGAAAATTGCAATTGCGTTTTACCCTACACACACACATTCATTACATTTCACATTCTACATGAGCTGCGGTCCCGCAGCCGTAGCGGGCACAGGCAAAAACCGCTCCGTATGTTCTTAGCCTAACTGGCGTGTGCCGTGATATGTCGAAGACAGTAATTGGGCGTGATTTACGACACAGATGGTTTTATAATTTCATATCTTCTATTGGTGATGTACCGCGTATGTTCACGCATCCACGTTCCGCATTACTTCACTGGAAAAGGCGTTAGCATGAAATTTGAGTACTTTTTATCATATACTTTTTATCATTTGACAAATAAAATAAAAGTACCAATGCCAAAGTTTCCAGTTCTTTTAAATTGTATTTCCTGATAATAATTAACCAGAAAACACACTAGGTTGACATTTTTGCATGTCAATTGCATTAATATCTAATTTCTTTTAACGAAAACGGGGAAGTTATTTGTAATGACAATCATTGTCATGATAAATTTTCATTGCCTGCCGTTGCTTATGTAATTATAATACTTTAATTGCTACCGTATTGTCAGCATAAGTCAGTATAGAAACTACTTATAAGCAATTACTCAGAAGGTAAAAATTAAAATTATAATTGTGAAATCACTTTGAACCGTGTAAGGTTTGAGTGCGTGATATGTTACACAGAATATCCTTTAAGAAAGAAATGTAGGTAAAATTGACGAAGACAAGAAAATATCACAGTATCATAACTAAAGCTCTTTGCAAATATATTTTTTGTACAATGTTTTGTATAACAAATACCTAAGTGGTCCTTTTTTAATTCTGAATTGTACTAGGTTTAAGGTCAAATTATTTATTTAAAGTTATTCTTTTTATTATTATTTAAAGTCAAGTCAAATTCAAAATCCATTAAATGCAATATTTCTATATCTGAACAGACATCCGTTGGTAGTATTTTACAATGTGCGTTTGTTAGTAAACAGCTCTGTATTGCGTTCTACGGCGTTTTCGAAATTTTCAGTATCATCCGTTAAAGTAGAATTGTCAAACCAAGTAATAATATAACTATTTCGATCTATGTAGTAAGCACAACATAGATCGAAATAGTTATCGCAAGTGTTAATTCTTCGTGTGCTTAAAGCACGTCAAAAGGGAGAGCAAAGCTCCCTTTCACGCTATTTTATTGCCGCGCATTATGTTTTACGATACCGGACGTCAATCGCAATAAATAAAAACTAATTGTACCATAATCACCTGACAAAGCGATAGGATTGAGACAGCTGACCGGGATCTATGCATTTCACCACATAATTTCTTCTCATAAGTACTCAAAATATGCTACACACACGTTGAACATTCGTCATCGTGGTTTAAGTACAACACTGAAAGAGACCTGTAATGCATCTTCTATCGCATTTACTAGAGCCCAGGTCCGACTCTCACAGACGCCCTCTAGTTGAGCCGCCCCCTCAGGTTCGAGTGGTCTAGAGGTTCCAGACAGAGAGGAGACTCCCCCCGTGGGGAGATTGCCATCCGCTTGGAATACCTCTAGAGGCAATCGCCAATTCTCGGCTTAAGGTCCCCTTGGGATCTAACCGTCCCCACACCCGATGACGCTGTAAAGGTCATTTGCGACCAACAGCATACACACTCAAAAAAAAGTAGAGTGTTCAGAGTTGTTCGTATTAATCCAAGCTTTTCGTCATCCTACATCTCAACCAAAATTTCCTTCATCAATCCCCATCATCTTGATGCTTTGCTATCCACAACCTTGCGATTTTGCCGAAATTATTACCATGTACGACAAAACTGTGGAAGTGTGGAATACATTATCACCAGCAGCGTTTTCGGGCCAATACGACCCGATAACCTTCATAAAAGAGCGCATACCTTCCTTATAGACCGGTATTGTATTTGTGGTACTCCTGGTGTTACAGGTGTCTATGGGAGATGGTGATCACTTACCATCAGGGCCGTCAGAATCCTATATTGCGTATAATAATATAAAATAGATCTGGTCTGGTCCTCTTTCTGTGTTCTGTGGTTTTAAGCTTTCGTACCGCGCGACTGAGTGCTATTCGACGACATGTAGGCCGCGGCTGATCCGATAGAAATCGCTTCGCAAACAGATTACGAACCGATACTCGATCGTACGAGTGAAAATACTCTGCGCCGCGCCGTCCGTCCAATGTTTACATAAACATACGCGACTTGTAAGCGCGCTAAAAATATTCTAAACGGCTTGCTCCCAATGAATTAACAAATCAACTTATTCCAAAGAAAATGTTACATGAATGGTGTAGTTTTTTATATATCTGCTTAAAAGTTTATTTTTATAAATTATAGCATAGGATAAAATTATAATGATCTGTTCAGCTTAGTTACTAAACGGACTCGTTATATCCTGTGCAAAACTTTGCATTTTAGTTTTTTCAGTATAGGTTACTTATACAGGTGGATTATATAAATCTGCAAGAATTTCATTAAATAAAAGGTAATTATATAAGTCTATAAAACATAGTTTTATAAAAACTTAAATTTAATCAGCATTAGCTATAATTGAAAGTCTAGTCATCTCACCCAGTTACCTAATAAGTACATAATTATTAACATATAGTGCATTTTGATATTTCCAAGTTTGTTACAACACATTCGTAAATTGAATACAAATTTATATTTAATGATACATTTAGATGCATATTAACATGAATAACATGACCTGACCTTCTTAAGAAATAACTAGCTGCCACACGCGACTTTTAAAATTACACGTTACACGTTAAAATTAGTTTATGAAAATCCTTCAGGATACTAAATTTTTTCCCGGATGAAAAGTATCCTGTGTCTCAATCCAGGTAATAAAATATACGTGGCTCAATTTCATTCAATTCCGATTAACCGTTTTTGCGTGATTGAATAACAAAAGAGACAAACTCTCATATTTATAATATTAGTAGGGTAGAAAAGATATATAATAGAACCTAAAACCGTTTCAATCTTCAAACCATCTAGTTTCGGCTTAAAACTTGTTTAGAGCTACAACCGTTCAATTCAAAATAACGGTAACTATTATAACCAATATATAGAACCTTCAGTAATTCAGCAGGAAATTACGTAGAAAATCAAGGATGTTCATACTTAATGATTTCGCGCAGTTAATAAATGCATAGGTAGTTAAATACTTACACAATCAAAAATCCAGTCTAAGAACACAATTAAAAAATCCAAAGTGTACAAATTCGCAATCCAATAAATGTCATTCACAGCACTGGTCACTGATAATTTCTCTAGGTTTAGAAAAAAAAATTTAGAATTTCAAATGTTTGAATTTGGAATTCGACGTGCGTTTTGTTCCGCGAGCGTTCTCGACGCTAGCCGTCCGAGCAACCGTGTGTCTACTTTCGAACTGAATCAAGATTCTCTCCGATTTTCTTGGATCGACCAATGCTTCGCTTGTTGCCTTGCAAGGAATGCCGCGCTACAACTTCAACTGTTTAAATCTTTTAGTACTTACCTATCTATATTATTATTATGCGCAAAGATGCTCACACAGTGATCCAAACTAAACGAACAAAACTTTTTAACAAAAAAATTAAACCACCGGAAAGTAAAAAATAATAAACCTTGTTTATCTTTAGTCAAATTAATATTTGGAGTCGGTGCTAGTGCCTGGCTAACCCAAGTAGTAAATGGGAACTCAGATCTATCAGACCTACATGGTACCTACTCCAAATATTAACTTGACTAAAGATAAAAAAGGTTTATTATTATTTACTATTCGGTTTTACCTCTTTAAAGAGCTTTTAACGTTAATGACCTACGATATCAAAGTTATTTCAGTCATGAAAGTAAAAGCAAAAATTTTACTCACACAGGTAATTGAAAATGCGGACCTGATGTCCCAAAATTTAGTACTAAGTATTTATTTCAACTTCACTCCACGCGTTGCTGTGGAATAGGGTCTTGCTTGACAAACAAACAGACAGTCTCTCTGTTTGTTTAGAAACGAAGTGCTTTTTCAAGGATTTTTTTCTTTCCTTTTGAAGTAAAGACTATTAAATATACAGAAACTCTTTTTCTTCATTTACCTATTGTGAGACTATGCCATACACAATATATAGGAATTATTGTGTGTGTAATTAATATTTCACACATAATAATACTCGAATCTGAGACGTGCCGTTATCTAAAATGTGTATCTATGATCGGACTCTACTTTCTAAATTGTAATGAAAGAATGAGTTATTATTTAATACGTTATAAATATACAGAAGCCCTTTATACTAACGAAGCGGGAATGTTTGCTACAAGGATTTTAAATGAACGGTGTCGAAGGGTTTTCTTTAGATAAAACAAAATTTTGTTGGCTTTCAATTAGGTAAGTCAGTAAAATCTTTACTCGTAATAAAATAATTTTATTAACATAACATAAGATACAAGTGGGTGTCTGCGGCTTTGACTGCACAGGATAATCCATTTTTCGTACATATTAATTTTAATTTTGCTTCCAAATATAATCCTTAATCCAAATATTTAGCTACAATACCGAATTCAACAAAATTGGTTCATCGGCTTAGGCATGAAAGCAAAACAGACAGATAAATATCAACTTATGTCATTATTGTCACATAAAAAAATAAAATACGATTACTGAAAAAATTTTTTTTTTTAATTATTTTCCCATAACTTCAATTTACTTTATCGAAACAAACATTTATGACATTCCCTTGGGTGACATCGTTTATTTTTATATAAAAAACTTATGCCAATTAGAAATGATGTCAAAGTGTTTAAAACTTTTTTCTATTAAGTAAAGAACGTTCAATTCTTGAAAAAATACAAAAAAAAACTCAAGTTAGCAACATTTAAGTGCATTGACTCTGCGTGAAGGAACGAAGAAGACAGCCGGTTTCCTAATAGGGAGAACAGGATTACTCTGGCCTCAACGGTACAGATGCAAGCAGTTTTGACGCGGAACTAGACATAAATGAACTACTTACGAGTTTATCCAAGACAGTTATCCAATGTGCGTGGGACGAGAATTCCCTCAATAAATTTGGTCTAACCAGACATAAAATATACCTATAGACAACCTATGAAAATTAAACATATAAGTATCTGGTCGGTTCGGTTCATGTGATATAGCCCGAAACTTTAAAAAAGCTTAAATTCTTGTTTCAATCTTTATTAATACCTACTTTAACAATATAAGGAAGCAATGTAATTTAAATCAAACTCTATGGTAAAAAAATCACGAATTAGTAGTAAAATTCGTTAACCGATTTAAAAGTATTACAAGGATTATATATTTGACTTTACTTACAAGAAACGAGACATCAAAGCAGCTGTTATCCAATATTCGGTAATTATGATCAGTGCCAAAAAAAACACGATTACTCAACCAATTGAAACTTGAATCGATACAAAAACACCTGTGAAGAGTTCGACGACCGCGTTTTAGTGAATCTTTGTAAACCTGTTTGCTATTGCCTGAATGATTAACATACCGTACTGAATATTCATTTTCGAAATGTTGGGTCCTATTTTACAACCTTCCTAAATGGTCGGCGTGGTAAATTTTAGTTTACGTCAGTTTTAATCGTACTATCCGATTTAAGCGCTACCACGTAAGCTAAATGATATTAGGTAAATGTAAATTTTGACGTTTCGAATTATTTTCGTAGATTTTTCGTACACATCCTACGTGATGTAATAAGTAAAATAATTTAAACGTTATATTTATAATATTCAATTATGATCTTAAACTTAGTTATGCGATACTAAATATCAATAAGAATGGATTGAACTGTCAATATTTACAGAAATAGTAGGATGCGGCTGCAAAGATCGTGGATTACAATGCCTGTATTTGTTGGCGCTACGAACAAAAAAAAATGTTTCCGAATCATGTTTACATAGAGATAGCCTGTATCCCAGCAGTGAAGACCATAGAATTCTGATGGTAATGATGATGACTGATAGGCTGATTGATCGATCAACGTGCAGCCAAAACCACTGGATCTAGAAGAACCGGGAGTCAGTGGGCTGATATGGGAACGCCAGCATTCATTGCACGGTTCCTGAGATGGGTGGTGGCAGCTTTAATTCGGCACAGCACATTCAAAGATACCGGGGAGGGGGAACGGACAATCATCTTGCGGCAGGTATATCAGGTGCCAAAACATCACCTACACTCTCGACGCACATAAGGGGGACGGGGGGAAGGGACAGCGGTCCTCAGAATGCTGGCCGGGTGACCGGTGCAGGAGTATTACCTGGTTTTTACTGGGTAGGGCCTTGTTCACTTCACCCAGCCTCGGGTCTGGGTGAAAAGCGGGTAGGAGTCTTTAGTTACCCTGTTTGCGCTACTCCCGGTGGTTCAGGGAGGCGTAATGCCTTTTCCAGATATAAAAAAGGGCCAGAAGGACGAACATTTTTTTCACAAAGATGCGGGATCTTAAGTTTCGATGACGTTAAACAATTAAAGTTTAGTAGTGTTCCTATCTAGTTAGCTACTTAGTTAGCTTTATTTAGTTTTTTGAGAATTCCACAAAACGCTGGCATTTACTGAAATATAAACTATCCTAGCTCTCTATCCAGATAATAAACTATATAAACTTATGTGTGCCAAATTTCATGCAAATCCGATCAGCCGTTTTTCCGTGTTTGAGTAACAAACGTTCACATAAAAACAAACTTTTATATTTATAATCAAATTGAGGCTGAAAAGAATGAAAAAATATTTCTTGATTGCAATCTGTGGCACCATTTTGTAGCCACCAAAACGCAAACTATACAAAGAAAGAACTACGGTAAGCTATGTACAAAATTAACTGTAAAACTAGCCTCTTATGAAGAACATGAATATTAGTTTCAAATTATTCTAATATTTATTCAACGTACGGTTACGCACCCAATTAATAATTAATTAAGATGCCATTACAAAAGTTACCCCACGTTTCGCTGTTATAACGTGGAAAGTTGAAAATTACCATGCAAACTTATGGTAATATGGGAAAGTATGTTTTCCAAGTCATAAACGTAAGCATGTTTATTTGTTAAGCAGAACTATATTTAGCGAATAAAGCCAAAACGTTATCATAAGAAGAAGTACATTATTCTATTAACAAAGTCAAGTTACATTTAAAAACAAACTATAAGAAGGGAATTCTTGTTATTGATGACTTTATCAACATTTGATAAAATGTAAAACGGTGATTCATATTAGATTTGTTATGTAGGGTCAAGTGGGGGACAGTATAACAAGGGGCACCGGTGACATTGACGTCTGCTGACAGATGTTTTAGATGGTGGCATACGAAACTAAAAACACGACAAGACAGAACAAAGACAATTAAGAAAAAGGCTCATATGTTCCTTATGTAACACTGTGCTCCTTGTTACACGGACCTCCATCCCTTAATTCTAAGCAATCTTAAAAAATAAAACTGTCATCCGGCTCGAAGGACCATGTATAGATGAGGCCATTACAGAACATGGTTGAACACATGTCATCATCATCATCATCAACCTATTAATGTCCCAACTGCTGGGGCACAGGCCTTCCCTATGGATGGAGTAGGGAGATTGGGCCATGACCCACCACGTGGGCCCAGTGCGGATTGGTGTGTGCTAATGACTGCAGATGCAACCGGGACCAACGGCTTAACGTGCCTTTCGAAGCACGGAGGGGCTCGAGATAGTAAATGTTTGGTCACCCATCCAATGACCGACCACTGCGAAAGTTGCTTAACTTCAACGATCGCAGCCGAACGCGCTAACCACTTGCGCCATCGAGCTCCTCTGAACATGTAATTCAAGCCAATTATACCAATGTCAAAATTATTTAAATAAAGTTAGTAAGCAAATTGTTGAAAATCCCAATAATATTTTAAAGTATATTTATATAAAATAAAATAATTCTGTCAATTTATAAAAGTCCTGAAAATGTTGACCAGAGTGTATATAAGTGGGATTGTATAATGGAGCGTTGGAAGTGAGTGAAATGTACTACTAGAAAAATAGGAATGAAAGATTACGAAGAAGTGAACGCTTGAGAATGATTGATGATTGACCCGTTTGTGATATTCTTTTTGCTGCGAAAGACAAAGGACGATACACGCATCTGCTCTGTACCTAAACCTTAAGTAAGAAATAAATCTGGCGTTGATTTTTGCTGTGACGCCCGTTTTTATTTTTCCCCTACATATTATATAACTTGTAGTACCATTCACATTAACGAGCATGGAGTTCATGTTTCTTTTGATAGACACATACATACTTGCATAGTAAATTCGAATAGTTGTCGTTAATTCTGCAGTCAAGGTCAACCAGCCAACATACTGTACTAATTTATCAAAAAAATAACTTTCGTAAACTTGTT